ATTTAGGCATATCCTTTTCTCTTTTTCTTTAAAAAAAACATAGCCTATTTTATATTATAATGTCTTTGTTCATATATCATTTAGCAACAACCTTTCCATATTAATGTATGTATGCAATGGCAATTGTACACTCACAATACGTGCAGTTTGTTGTATATCAGGTATACCTTAACAAAGCAGTTTAAGAAATAAACCGCTCACACCTGTAATCCCAGCACTTTGGGAGGCCGAGGTGGGTGGATCACCTGAGGTCAGGAGTTCGAGACCAGCCTGGAAAACAGGGTGAAACCCCATCTCTACTAAAAATACAAAAATTAGCCAGGCATGGTGGCAGCCCCTGTAATCCCAGCTACTCAAGAGGCTGAGGCAGGAGAATCTCTTGCACCCGGAGACAGAGGTGGCAGCCAGCTGAGACTGCATCACTGCACTCCAGCCTGGGTGACAGAGCAAGACTCTGTCTCATTTTTTTAAAAAAAGAAATAAGCAAACTGATAATTACTAATACCTATATAGGGTTTAAATGTACCACCTTAAAAAACTGTTTTACTCATTAACTTGTTTAATCTTCCCAACAACAACTCTTTGAATATTATTGACATTTGTCAGAGAAGGAAACTGAGGCAGAGAGCCTGAACGCGAACACCTAGCATTCAAGAATCCAGTCCTTTACAGTTTCTCTCCTTATAATGCATCTGAGCCTCATTTTTCTACCTAATTACGTGTTAAGCACCAGGTGTATACAGCCCCTTGTTAGATATTTTTGCCGGATTCCAGGGTGGTAGAAAATTGTCTACACCTAAGCTTACTTTTGTTTCCATGGCCTGAGTATCTTGATTATAGATGGAGGGAGTGCTCCACCTGCTGGCCTAACTAAGGAATCGCAGGCACTTGCGTTTTCTGAGTGCTGGCTGACCTGCTTTGAACGTTTAAAGCGCCCCTGTGGCTGAAATCAAAATTGCCAGCTAAATTTTTAGCCACTTTAACTCAGGTTTTAGTCTTGTTTCATCCACTAATATTTTTTCTTTCTTTTTTCTTTTCTTTTTTGGTGAGATGGAGCCTCACTGTTGCCAGGCTGGAGTGCAGTGGCAAGAGCTCGGCTCACTGCAACCTCCACCTCCCAGGCTCAAGTGATTCTCCGGCCTCAGCCTCCCGAGTAGCTGGGACTCCAGGTGTGCAGCATCATGCCCAGCTAATTTTTATATTTTCAATAGAGACGGGGTTTCACTATGTTGGCCAGGCTGGTCTCAAACTCATGACCTCACGTGATCCACCCACCTTGCCCTCCAAAAGTGCTGGGACTACAGGCATGAGGCGCCACGCCTGGCCAGTTCCCCCATTTTTAACATGCTGCATTAGTGTGGTACATTTGTTATAGTTGATGAACCAGTATTGACATGTTATTATTAAAGGACATGGTTTATATTAGGGCTCACTCTTGGTGCCATACGTTCTATGGGATTTGACAAATGCATAATGACATGTATCTGCCATTACAGTGGCACACAGAGTAGCTTCCCGGCCTTAAAAGTTCCCTGTGCTCCCGTTTACCCCTTATCCCCATTCACCCCATGAACTCCTAGCAACCCTGATCTTCCAACTCTATATATAGTTTTACTAATTTATTTTTAAAATCATTTTGAAGTCTATTTTTTTTTTTTTTTTTTTTGAGATGGCTTGCTCTGTCGCCCAGGATGGAGTGCAATGGCACAATCTCGGCTCACTGAAACCCCTACCTCTCAGGTTCAAGCGATTCTCCTGCCTCAGCCTCCTGAGTAGCTGGGATTACAGATGCATGCCACCATGCCCGGCGATTTTTTGTATTTTTAGTAGAGATGAGGTTTCACCATGTTGGCAAGGATGGTCTTGATCTCTTGACCTCATGATCCACCAGACTTAGCCTCCCAAAGTGCTAGGGTTACAGGTGTGAGCCATCGTGCTGGACCCCAATCCCAGCACTTTGGGAAGCTGAAGCAGGTGGATCACCCAAGGTCAGGAGTTCAAGACCAGACTGACCAACATGGAGAAACCCTGTCTCTACTAAAAATACAAAAATTAACCAGGCATAGTGTCATGTGCCTGTAATCCCAGCTACTCAGGAGGCTGAGGCAGGGGAATCACTTGAACCTAGAGGCAGAGGTTGCAGTGAGCAAAGATCACACCATTGCACTCCAGCCCGGCAACAGAGTGAGACTCCATCTCTCTCTCTCTCTCTCTCTCTCTCTCTCTCTCTCTCTCTCTCTCTCTCTCTCTCTCTCACACACACACACACACACACACACACACACAAAACGACCTGTCTTAAGCCTCTGAAGTGTGGCAGAGGAAAAAGATCCTGTGGTCAGGCCAGGCACAGTGGCTCACACCTGTGATCCTGGCACTTTGGGAGGCAGAGGCAGGTGGATCACCTGACGTCAGGAGTTTGAGACCAGCCAGGCAAATGTGGTGAAACCCTGTCTCTACCCAAAATACCAAAGATTAGCCAGGCATGGTGACAGGCACCTTGCAGTCCCAGCTACTCGGGAGGCCAAGGCAGGAGAATCACTTGAACCCGGGAGGCAGAAGTTGCAGTGAGCCAAGATGCCACTGCACTCCAGCCTGAGCGACAGAGTGAGACTCCGTCAAAAAATAAATAAATAAAAATAAAAAGGAAAATAACTTGCATCCTGCCCTCCAATGTACAGTATAGTGATTAGGAGCCAACGTGCTGTATCAGATTTTGTGAAACACCCAGTTCTGCTCTTTACTGCCTCTCACTGTGGGTGAGTAAATCGTTACAGCCGTCTTATCACCTGTAAAATGGAAATGACAACAGTGCCTACCTGATAGGTGACTTCCTCTCTGTTCTCCAGGCCTTTGATGATGCCCCATCACTCTGGTCCTCTTCTCCAGACCAGACTGGGCTCCAGATGGGAAGGGCCAGGTTAGTCTGCAATCACAGGCTTCTAAACCAGTGGCTGGGACCATGTGTTACTAAGTGCCGGCTCTGCAGCCGGACAGACCAGGTTTATCAATCTGGTTCCCCTGCTACCTGTCATGTGATGTCAGGAAAGTAGTTTAACTGCTCTAAGCCTCAGTTTCCTCATCCACAAATGTAAACAGTAGAGCTATTAAAGGACATATATTAGATAATTCACATGAAAGCAAAAAGATGGTAACGGGCAAAGAACAACTATTCTACAAAACGCTGGTTATAGTTAGTGGTAGTGACAGGCAACTGATACAGTGGTTTTTGTTTTATTTTGTTATTGCTGTTTTTGAGACAGAGTCTCACTCTCGTTGCCCAGGCTGGAGTGCAATGGCACGATCTCGGCTCACCACAACCTCCGCCTCCTGGGTTCAAGCAATTCTCCCGCCTCAGCCTCCCAAGTAGCTGGGATTACAGGCATGTGCCACCATGCTGGGCCAATTTTTGTAGAGACAGGGTTTCTCCATGTTGGTCAGGATGGTCTCGAACCCTCAACCTAAGGTGATCCATCCACCTCGGCCTCCCACAGTGCTGGAATTACAGGCGTGAGCCACCGCGCCTGATGATACATTGCTTTTTAATAAATGTTTCCATATTCTTAGTGTCTGGGGCCAGGCAAAGTTTGTGCACTCATTACTATTCCAGCGGCCAACAAACCTGTGAGTAACGATATTCCCATGGCAATGAGCACTTGTGGCATCCAGATCTTGGTTTCCGAACTGCTGTCTGTTAAAAGTAACCAAGACTTCCCAAAGAAATGACTGCAGCAGGGAGAAGGGACGATGGAAATATCTTACTATATCAGAAAGCAAGAAAATGCTCCAAAAAGTTGGATTAGTGTCCAAAGAACGTAAGAACTATCTTGAAGAGGATTCGCTGGCCACATTTGAGGAGGAAATATTGACCAGAAAGAATAATAATAATTTATTATAAAAGACAAAGAAAAGGGCCAGGCGCGGTGGCTCAAGCCTGTAATCCCAGCACTTTGGGAGGCCGAGGCGGGTGGATCGCGAGGTCAAGAGATCGAGACCATCCTGGTCAATATGGTGAAACCCCGTGTCTACTAAAAATACAAAAAATTAGCTGGGCATGGTGGCGCGTGCCTGTAATCCCAGCTACTCAGGAGGCTGAGGCAGGAGAATTGCCTGAACCCAGGAGGCGGAGGTTGCGGTGAGCCGAGATCGCGCCATTGCACTCCAGCCTGGGTAACAAGAGCGAAACTCCGTCTCAAAAAAAAAAAAAAAAAAAAAATCCAGGAATCCACAGCAAGTCTCCAAAAAAAGAAAAAGAAAAAAAAGAGAGGGTATATAATGAATATTATATATATAATATATATATCAATGCTACTAAAATCACTCCGTGAAAGGCTGATAGAGAAGATGGTCACATGGTCTTTCAGGGCATCGCCCCGGAGAGTACTTAATCACAAACAGTAAAGGGTACCATTCACTGGAGCAACAGGGCAGACACCGCCTTTACCAAACGATCAAACTTCACATTACCAAAAACGGGACAAACTGACATTATCCAAGTGTGTTCCACAGGAAAAACAAAAAATTAACTTGAATCTTATTATGGGGCAAGAGGGAGGGGAGGATTAGACAAATCTAGTTTATGGGATATTCTATAAGACAACCGGTCCGGACCCGTCGAAATTATCATGTGATAAGACTCCCCCTATAAAAGTAAGGACTGATCTGAATTAAAGGACACCGAAAAGACGTAACTCAAGGCAATGAATGAATCCACGATGGGAGGGGGTCTTACTTCGAACAACTGAAACTGGAACATAAACTGTCTACTAGCTAACAGTACTGCATCGATATTACATCTCTCGGGTATGAAAATGGCCCTGAGGTCACGAACAATGCATTTGTTCTTAGGAGATGCACTGCCGGAGTATTTATGATAGGAAATCGCGGAAAAGGAACTCAGAAGTGAGTCCCAGTCGCTCGGCTCAAAGTTCGCGCGTGCGCACAGCCCTCTCTTTCCAAGACTTTATTTTGCGCGGCCCGAGAATCAGATAGTGCTCGTAAGGCGGAAATGCGCGATAGCGGGTTCCGGTGACCACGAAGGCGGCTAAGGCGACGGAATGGAGGAGGTACCTCACGGTGAGCTCGCGGAGGGGGCGTGGGTGGTGGGGCGAAAGTGTCGCGACCTGCTCTAACTGTGGTCTTGTGTCTGCGTAGACTGTCCAGGGGCCGACAGCGCCCAGGCGGGCCGAGGGGCTTCATGTCAGGGATGCCCCAACCAGCGGCTGTGCGCTTCTGGAGCGGGAGCCACTCCAGACCCAGGTGAGAAAGGGGCAAGGCCTCAACAGGAAGTGAGAGGCCCAGGCCCGGAAGAGGCGGGGCATGGAGGGAGGGGGCGGGATCTGCAGAATGAGTGACAGGGGCGGGCTAAACGGTATTGTATACGGAGAGGGGCGGGGCCCAGAGGGGGCGGGTCGTGGAAGTTAGGCAGGGTGAGGGCGGAGCTTGGAGTGACAGGGACTAGGCCTTTAAAAGGCGGGCGCGGAGGCAGTAGCGCGGATAGAGGGCGGAGACTGGCGCAGGGTCAGAAGGCACGTTACTAAAAGTATCGTGCCAGAGGTTTGAGTGGGACTAACCGACCGCGGAGAAAACGGGATAAGCTCCAAAGTCAGGGAGTTCTCGGACTTAAATCCTGGCTCTGCCAGCTACTTTCTTGATACAATTTTCTTCCTTTTGAGGAGTGATTCTTTCTTTCATTCAACGGAAATGTGTTGATCGCCTCGTAGGTACCCTGCTGTTCTGGGGACACGGCTGGGGATCAGGCATGGTCACTGCCCTGGTGGAGTTTAGCTTAACATTGGAAACATAAACACGTGAGCTAGCAACTAAACCACCATAGCTTCAAGTGCTGTGAAGCACAGATTCGAGGATGGGAGGACTCTGGGAGCCTGCTCAGGACCTTAAAAAGCAGGATGCAGAGGGAGAATCTTTCCCGCCGCTTCCCCTTTTTTTTCCTACAGAGTCTTGCTGTGTGGCCCAGGCTGGAGTACAGTGGTGTGATCTCGGCTCACTGCAACCTCCGCCCCCCGGGTTCAAGCAATTCTTGTCCCTCAGCCACCTGAGTAGCTGGGACTACAGGCACCCGCCATCATGCCCAGCTAATGTTTGTATTTTTAGTAGAGATGGGGTTTCACTATGTTGGCCAGGCTGGTCTCGAACTCCTGACCTCCGGTGATCTACCTGCCTCAGCCTCCCAAAGTGCTGGGATTACAGGTGTGAGCCACTGTGCCCCGCCAAGGGAGAGAATCTTGAAGGAGTTCAAAGAGAGACTTGGGTTTGATTCTTGGGTCCATGTAGTGTGACCATCAGCAATAGTGCCAACTTCTCTGAGCTTCTGGTTCCTCATCAACAATGGGAACAAGCTGGGTGTGGTGGCTTATGCCTGTAATCCCAGCAGCACTTTGGGAGGCCGAGGCAGGTGGATCATTTGAGGTGAGGAGTTCGAGACCAGCCTGGCCAACATGGTGGTGAAACCTGTCTCTACTAAAAATACAAAAATTAGCGGGTGTGGTTGTCCATGCCTATACTCCAGGCTGAGGTGGGAGCATCGCTTGAACCTGGGAGGTGGAGGTTACAGTGGGCTGAGATCATGCCACTACACTCTACTGGCCTGGTGACAGAGAGAGACCCTATCTCAAAGGAAAAAAATAAATGAAGAGAAAAAGAGTTACTTCTATCAATCAAATGGAGAGACTGAACCAAGTCTCTACCGGTGAAGGTTTATTGAACCAGAGCTTGAGGAAGTGCCCTGGAAAACACGAGTCAGAAACGTCTGTGGCCTGTGCTCCCTGGAGAGGTTCCAGGAGGCTCATGTTTATAGATTTCGTTAAAAGGGGGAAAAGCATGCAGGAAAAAGTGTGGCAGGCCTTGAGACAGGTAGTCATGTCTTGTGAGGTTTTAATTAGTGCCCAGTATATCTGTGCTATACAGAAGATAAGGTGAAAATTCTAAAAAGGAAATAAAGGAAGATTTCATTAGACAGATGTCTCAGGAGAGGAGAGGGAGGATTGATCGTCCTGTCTTTGTTCAGCACGTGGGAAGCTTGTAATGGACATTGTCAGTGTGACATTTAACAGACAGTAGTAACACACAAGGAGTTAGGCTAAGTTTACAGTCCTAAAGAAAGTTACAGTTGACATGTCCTTGTTTATGGGAGGATATTCATCTTCAAAGTTTTAGGGGCCAGCAAAGAAGTTCCTTGGGAGCAATCTATGAGGATCGTCATCTCACAATGGAGATGTGTGAGGCCTTTGGCCTTTTGCAGGAGTCTGGTTAATCTAGAATGCTTTGACACAGGTTAGGAAGTAATAGCTGTCCGTTGATGGGGAGGAGGACAGCAGTGTTGGGAGGTTTCCAGGCCAAACGTTCACTCAAGATGGAGACAGGCCGGGTGTGGTGGCTCACGCCTGTAACACCAGCACTTTGGGATTTCAAAGTGGGACATCATGAGACATTTTATTTCCTTTAAAACAATACACAATACCTCGTGTATTGTTTTAAGGATTTGAAATAAGATAGTTTCATTGACAGATACTTAGTATGAGCCTGCTGTCTATCAGGATTTCTCAACCTACGCTGTTGACATTTGGGGCAGGATCACTCTTTGTTGTGGGAAGGTGTCCTGTGCATTGTAGGACATTTAGCATGATCCCTGGCCTCTATCCATCAGATGCCAGCAGTACCTCTCCTGTAATAATGAAAAGTGTCACCAGCCTGGGCACAGTGGCTCACGCCTCTAATTCCAACACTTCGGGAGGCCGAAGCAGGTGGATCACTTTGAGGTCAGGCAGGAGTTTGAGACTAGCCTGGCCAACATAGAGAAACACCATCTTTACTAAAAATACAAAAATTAGCTGGGTGTGGTGGCGGGTGCCTGTAATCCCAGCTACTGGGGAGGCTGAGGCAGGAGAATCGCTAGAACCTGGGAGGTGGAGGTTGCAGTGAGTGGGCTCCAGCCTGGGCAACAGAACGAGACTCTGTCCCAGAAAGAAAAAGAAAAGTGTCTCCAGACATTACTAAATGTCCCTGGGGGATTTTGTCCCCAAGCTGGGGACCATTACTGTATGCAGAGTTCTCTTCTGAAGCTGGGAATACAGCACTGAAAACTTCAGAGAGTCCCTCCCCTTGTGGAGAGTATCTTTAGTTGGGGGACACAAACATGTAAACCAATAAATGAGACACCTTCAAATGTGATAATAGCCTTATTTTCTTCCTAGTACTTACTTCTACCATTGACGAAGAGGTATTTCTGAGGATCCTTTTAAACTGCCCCAGGACTAGGACTAGTAGTTAGCTCTTCCTGGTTGACTGGAAGAGTGACATTCGAGGTTTGATCAGGGACCTCATCCCCTGTACTTTGGCTTTCTTTGCAGCTATAGAGGAAATCAAAGAGAAAATGAAGACTGTCAAACACAAAATCTTGGTATTATCTGGGAAAGGCGGTGTTGGGAAAAGCACATTCAGCGCCCACCTTGCCCATGGCCTAGCAGAGGATGAAAACACACAGGTGAGTCCTCAGAAACCACTGGGGGATGCGCATTCTGTCTGAGGGTCGTGATGGCTATTGAATAACTGATTTCTAGGCCAGGTGCAGCGGCTCACGCCTGTAATCCCAATGCTTTGGGAGGCTACAACAGGCAGATCGCTTGAGGCCAGGAGTTTGAGATCAGCCCCGCCAACATGGCAAAACCCTGTCTCTACTAAAAATACAAAATATTACCTAGGTGTGGTAGCGCAGGCCTGTAATCCCAGCTATTTGGGAGTAAGAGCCATGAGAATTGCTTGAGCCCGGGAGGCAGAGGTTGCATTGAGTCGAGATTGCGCTACTGTACTCCCGCCTGGTGCACAGAATGAGACTGCCTCAAAGGAAACATGGAATTGGCCTCTTTGGAATCTCAGTCCCTGCAGAGAAGCAATGCCCAGTAGTGAAATCAAGCATTTCATTGGATTCTCTAGCCAAGAAAATGGCTAGCAGATGTACATCTCCCCTTGCGTGTGGATAGTTACCTTACATGCTTGTTTCTTTTTCCTCTTTAATAACCCCTTTTTGCTTTTCTCTAAGCCAGGGACCTGCAAACTATAGCCAATGGGCCAAATCAGCCAGGCGCAGTGGCTCACGCCTGTAATCCCAGCACTTTAGAAGGCTGAGTTGGGTGGATCATGAGGTCAGGAGTTCAAGACCAGCCTAGACAACATAGTGAAACTGTCTCTACTAATAATTAGCCAGGCGTGGTGGTGCGTGCCTGTAGTCCCAGCTACTCGGGGTACTACATTTAAGATGCAGAAAGCAAGATGCTGAGGCAGGAGAATAGCTTGAACCCGGGAGGTGGAGGTTGCAGTGAACTGAGATCACACCACTGCACTCCAGCCTGGGTGACAGAGCAGAGCAAGACTCCATCTCAGAAAAAAAAAAAAGGGGCCAAATCCAGTTTTTCCCTGTCTTTATGGCCTATGAACTAAGAATGGTATCCACATTTTTGAAATGTTTTTTGTTTGTTTGAGACAGGATCTCACTCTGTTGCCTAGGCTGAAGTGCAGTGCTATGATCAAGATTTACTGCATCCTCTACCTTCCAGGCTTATGAAGCTATTCTCCTACCTCAGCCTCCCAAGAAGCTGGGACTACAAGTGCTTGCCACCATGCCCAGCTAATTTTTGTGTTTTGTAGAGGTGGGGTTTTGCCATGTTGCCCAGGCTAGTCTTGAACTTCTGAATTCAAAGCATCCCCCTGCCTCGGCCTCCCAGAGCGCTGAGATTAAAGGCATGAGCCACTGTGCTTGACCTAAAATTGCAGTTTTTAAATTAGTACCTAAGAACCTACATATGATCCTTGATTTTGCCCACAAAGCCTAATAATATATTTCCTGTTGGCCCTTGTGGAAAACGTTTGCTGGCCCTAACAAGAGTTTATTCATTTCCACCCAAGTATTCAGATGAGCATGAAAACTCAGATTACCCAGTGCTGCTCTCTGGATCTCAACTTTAATAAAAAGGGTTGTGGATAGCTAAGAACACGCACTCAAGTCAGACAGCCCAAACTCAGGTTCCGGCTCCATCTGCACCACTGCTGTGACCATGGGCAGGTTACCAGGCTTACTCTGCCTTCGTTTTCTCATCCATGAAATGGGACTCCAAGGACTGAGTGAGATGACACATATAGAGCACTTAGCACGGGGCCTGACCAATAGTAAATGCTCCGTAAATGTCTCTGATGGCCATCATTTTTATTCCTTTATTTCACTAACCAGATGTGAAGGGATGATTCTATCTGCCTTAGAGATGAGTCTGTAGCCTACCCAAAGTATAGTACTGAGTAGCTTCAAAATATACTTGTTGGGCCGGTCGTGGTAGCTCATGCCTGTAATACCAGCTCTTTGGGAGACTGAGGCAGGCAGATCACTTAAGGTCAGGAGTTTGAGACCAGCAGCCTGGCCAACATGGTGAAACCCTGTCTCCACTAAAAAATACAAAAATCAGCTGGGTGTAGTGGCACGCACCTGTAGTCTTAGCTACTTAGCAGGAGGCTGAGGCACGGGAATCACTTGAACCCAGGAGGCAGAGGTTGCGGTAAGCCGAGATTGCCCCACTGAACTCCCACCTGGGTGACAGACTGAGACTCCATCTTAAAAAATGAAAATTTAAAAAATTATATATAAACACACACACACACACACACACACTTGTTGATTCATTGTTTTGGTAGTTGGCAGTCTCTTGCCATTTGAGGGTCAAATTTGTGTTGGCCTAGTGGACTGGCTAAGAAATCTGGTTTCTCAGATTGTCTGTACTGTTTAGAATAATCTTTGCTTTTTGAAGCTGTCAGGAATATTCTTAAACAGCTCACTGGAGATGGGCTTTCATCTGGTCCCTTGCAGGTAACCACTTGTGAGTAGACAACTGTTGACATCATTCACTTTCATGTAATTAGTTTCTGAAGTCTTTGCTGCATGCTTGTCTAGACTTTGCAATATACAGAAGGAAAGCACACCAGTGTGGAAATATGGCTAGATCAGGTGTACTTCTTTATGCAGTGGTAGTTTTAAAAAAAAAAAAGGTCAGCATTTAGGAAAGTTTTTTTCTCCCCAGGCAGACCTACTCATGACAGTGATATCATGATCTGCAAAGTGTCAACACATGGAAAATGCTTAAAATGTTTTGATTAAAGTCAAGCAGCACAGATTTCTCCCTGTCCTAAATCTAGCTGGATGGTGGGATGCGCCCTGACCCTTTCCTGCCTGCTGTCTGGTGGAAGCTTGGCTCTAACTGTAGGCAAGACCATTCCATGTTAGCGCTTGAGGCAGGCAGATATCTGTCATCTCATTGGCAAAGGGCCTTGGATCAAGAGAGAACAGAATTAGAAAACACCCCTAACGAATCACAGGCTGAGCAGGGAGTGTGTAAGTTGTACTGAAGGTAGGAGGAGCCTCTGTAGCATAAGCCTGAGCCATGAGACGGCAAAGAGTCCCACACCATCTTCCACCGCAAAAGTCACTGACTCCCAGCCTGGGCTACAAAGTAAGACCCCTGTCTCTACAAAAAGTAAAAAATAAAAAAAGTTAGCCAGGCATGGTGTTGAGCACCTGTAGTCCCAGCTACTCAGGAGACTGAGGTAGAAGGATCACTTGAGCCTGAGAAGTCAAGGCTGCAGTGAGCCATGACTATGCCACTGCACTCCAGCCTGGGCAACAGAGTGAGACCCTACTTCAAACATCATGAATAACCAGCAAGTCATCAACTTCCATAAATTAACCTTTTTTTTGAGGCAGAGTGCTGCTCTGTTGCCCAGGCTGGAGTGCAGTAGTGTGATCTTGGCTCACTGCAGCCTCCACCTCCAGGGTTCAAGCGATTCTCCTGCCTCAGCCTCCTGAGTAGCTGGGATTACAGGTGCCCACCACCATACCCAGCTAATTTTTATATTTTTAGTAGAGACGGAGTTTTACTATGTTGGCTGGGCTGGTCTTGAACTCCTGACTTCAGGTGATCCACCTGCCCCAGTCTCCAAAGCACTGGGAATACAGGCATGAGCCACCACACTTGGCCACCACAAATTAAACATTTGTGATCTGAAAGGCTGTCATTACAAGGTCAGCACTGGGTGTTTCAGGACTGACTGTGTAAGGCTCTCCTGTGGGACTTGGGACTGCAGAGCAGGAAGGGGCCTGGGAGACATCAGAGCACTTATCTCACATATCAGAAGCCTGAACAACCGAGGCTTAGAGAGCAGAAGCAAATTGTGCAAGGTCTAAAAGTTGGGAGCTGGGCGTGGTGGCTCACGCCTGTAATCCCAGCACTTTGGGAGGCCAAGGTGGGCCGATCACCTGAGATCGGGAGTTTGAGACCAACCTGACCAACATGGAGAAACCCCGTCTCTACTAAAAATACAAAAAAAATTAGCCAGGTGTGGCACATGCCTATAATCCCAGCTACTAGGGAGGCTGAGGCAGGAGAATCGCTTGAACCTGGGAGGCAGAGGTTGCAGTGAGCTGAAATCACACCATTGTATCCAGCCTGGGCAACAAGAGCAAAACTCCATCTCAAAAAAAAAAAAAAAATGTTGGGACTAAACCCCTCTTCCCCTACCTTCCTCATTATGCGCAGTTTGGGGTGCTGGGTAAAGGAGATGCTTTGGATCCTGAGAGCCCTGTGGCATCCCCTTCCCTCCGCCTTCTGCAGCAAATGCTGCCTCTTCCCATCAGCTGCAAACACAGGCCCAGAGTTCCTGGTGTGGAGGAATGCAGGCACATTGCTCAGCTTTGCTTATCTGGCCTAACCTAAGCAGAATTACTTGGACAGATTTTGGGGGAGTAATAGGATCAACAGTAAGTCTGAAGAGACAGGACACAGGGCCACCCTGGGCATCTGGGTGGCAGGAGCCTGTCAGCAGCCTCTCGTGCCTGCCACAGGAGTGAGTGCGCTTGATCTTCTTCTGGCATCCTTACATCATTTCGTGCAAGTTTCACTCCGCAAGAGAGTGAACTTCCTCTAAAAGGAACTGATGAAATTGTTCCCTGAAAGAAGGGCATGGAGACAGAGTAGCTAGAAACCTGAGAATATCGAGGAATGTCTCTATCATAGTCATTGATAGTGATGGTGTCATTTCCCCGTGGATCGTTGACACTTCAGTCCCAAGTATCAAGCTCCTGAGAGAGCAAGTCAGGTTTTCCCATGATGTCACTCTGCTGTGTTCCTCAGATGGCCCCATAGAGGGCGCCTGAGGCCAGCACTGGGCACAGGTTTGAGACAGCGCTGGGTGCAGAGGAAGTAGGTGGCTAGGCTTGTTGAGAAGATTGAAGAGGGAGGCAAGAAACTAATTGGGTGCAAGTTAAAAAGTGACCCGGAGGTGCAGCACTTTGGATCTGAGTCACTGCAGTTTTCAAGATGAGTACTAGTCCTGTTCTCAGAAAGTTCCCGAAAGCCATCTCAGACCTCCTGTATCAGAGGGGAAGGCTTAGGATGGAAGAGGTCGCGTGAGGCTGCGCCCAAGTCACAAGCAAAGAGCTTTTCCAGGTTTCCACCTTACTTTAAGTTTCCGTTTTGAAAGTTCAGCCTAAACAGTCATTCACCTTCAGGATCAAAGGAAAACAGGGCTTGGTTCAGCTTCCACTCTGGTCCTCCACGGCAGGCCCCGTCGCATACTGGAAAGAGTCCTGGTTGGGGACAGAAGACCTCAGTTTATGTCCCAGCTCTGTTCCTCGCTTATTGAACTGGTCTCCTCTGAACCTCAGTTTCCTCCTCTGTAAGCAAGCGATAATGATACCATCTAGGCACATGACTACCTCGGCCTCCCCAAGAGCTGGGACTACAGGTGTGAGCCACTGTGCCCAGCCCCCAATATATTTTTTTAATACATTCACAGTGTGCTTAAATGCTTGCATCTGAGACTCCTGAACAAGATAGGATAAGTTTGAGAAATATTTAAGATGCAGAGAGAAAGACTTGGTGAGGGGGTGAGCAAAGGATTGCTGTTTAGGGTGGCTCCAAGATGGCTCTCGCTTGGCTGTCCCATCCATTCTGTCCCACAATCTAAAAAGGCACTAGGCCCCTTTCCCTGTCTCCTCCAGCCAGAGCTCAGTAAACAGGGTCTGGGCCCAAGCCTCCAAGTGACCTGACACCCAGGTCTGTAAGATCACCCTCAAGGAGCTGAGCCAGGCTGAGAGGTAGGGAACCGGGGGCATCAGTGTTTATGAACCTTGAGATCGGTGTTACGACTCTACATCAGGAGAATCCGACGGCTCCAAGTTTGACCCGGTTTCTGTCTTCCCCCCAGTCCGTTTCCTCTAACCCCACTCCTCTCCCCGTGGTGCGTACCTGGGCTTTGTGCATTCAGTTATGTAACCGCTTTGGTCTCTTCTTGCTCCCTAGATTGCTCTTCTAGACATCGATATATGTGGGCCATCAATTCCCAAGATAATGGGATTGGAAGGAGAGCAGGTAATAGCGGTTACAGAACTCAGGAAATTGTTCTCTTAAGGCAAACTCGGTAGCACTGCACTGTCAGATGTAAACAAACAGGTATGCAGAGCCCATAAATGCTTTGTTGTTGTTTTTTGTTTTTGAGACAGTCTCTACTGCCCAGGCTGGACTGCAGTGGCACGACCTCAGCTCACTGCAACCTCCGCCTCCTGGGTTCAAGCAATTCTCGTGCCCCAGCCTCCTGGGCAGTTGGGACGACAGGGGTGTGCCACCCACCATGCCTGGCTAGTTTTTGTATTTTTGATAGAGACGGTGTTTCACTATGTTGGCCAGGCTGGTCTCCACTTCTTGACCTCCAGTGATCACCTGCCTTAGCCTTCCCAAGTGTTGGGATTACAGGCGTGAGCCACCGCACCTGGCCCATAAATGTTTATGTGGGCCTGATGAGCTGAGATATGTGCTTGGTAGTCCATCTGTCTACTTTAACAACTGTGAGTTTTGAGGGGCCGGGAGTATCTATGAAGTCCATCTACACCATTTGAGAAGCATTGGTTTCGATGCCTCCTCAGAGGGGAAGGGAAACAGCCAGTGAAATGCAGAAGTGAGACACGGAAATTTAGCTCTGACTGGGAACATTAGACTAGGGCTTGCTAAGGCTCTGTACCCTGGAAGCAAGGGAATATTTCTGCCCCTGTGGTCTCCCCTGGGGAACTGAGACTGCAGGGTGGGTGAGCGATGCAGGCTGGGGGCAGGGCCGTAGCAGTGTCTGTAGTTGCTGGCTTCTTGCTAGCAAGAAGCTCTCCAAGAGAGGATTCCCCCATGGGCAGTGCATGGAAGCTGGGGCTGGGGGTGCTGGGATGTCCCAAGAGTCTCAAGAGTGTTTCTTTCTTTAATTAGTGCCAGGGATGCGTTAATCATGTTCTGAGGATTCAGTAGTAAACAAGGCCTATAAAGACCCCCATCTGAGTGGGAGAGGACAGAGGCTAGGTAATGGGAAACCAACCCAGAGTGAGGGTATAGACAGTAGGGCAGGGTCAGAGTGCTGCTGTTTGGGAGGGGTGGTCAAAGGTGCCCTCACTGAGGGGTAGCATTTGAGCAGAGGATGACAGGAGGGGAGAGCTGAGGGAGGAGCATTCTGCGCTAATGGAGCAAGTGTGTAGGCCCCTGACGCTGGGTGTCCTTGTGTTCTGAGTAGAGTGACCAGTGGGGCTGGAGGGTGGCCCAAGGCCGATGGGGCCAGGCCTTGCAGGCACATTTTGTTTTTTTGTTTGAGACTGAGTCTCCCTTTATTGCCCAGGCTGGAGTGCAGTGGCGTAATCTTGGCTCACTGCAACGTCCACCTCCAGAGTTCAAGTGATTCTCCTGTCTCAGCCTCCTGAATAGCTGAGACTACAGGCACATGCCACCATGCCCGGCTGTTTTTTTTGTATTTTTAGTAGAGATGGGGTTTCACCATATTTGCCAGGCTGGTCTCGAACTCCTGACCTTATGATTCACCCACTTCAGCCTCCCAAAGTATTGGGATTACAGGCATGAGCCACTGTGCCCGGCCCCTTGCAGGCACTTCTAAGGCCTTTGTGTTTGCTTCTGAGGGAATAGGGAAGGAGAGCGATGTCACTCCTTGAGGCTTGGTCACATACCCCCATGGATGTGGTACCACAAGCCCCAGCGAGGGTATAAGGTACTGTCATCACACATAAGTATTTGATAGAAATAGAAATTTTAAAATAAAGTAAAACAGAAGTTTTACCACGTTCTTCTCCAATAATGGAGAAGATTGGATCGTCCTGTTTACCATAACTCTGAGGATAAGTGGACTTAGCAAACGAGTATAAACATAAATGAATGGTTTTGTTGGGTTTCTTTTTAATAGAACTTCAAAGTCAGGCACAGAGGACCACATGTTGTATGATTCCACTTACATGAAATGTGCAGAGTAGGTCAGTCTACAGAGAGAAAAAGTAGCTTAGGGGTTCCCTACGGCTGGGAGGATATGAGAGATACTGGAGGGGCGATAGCTGAGGGGTGACAGCTATAGAGATTCTTCCTAGAGTCATGAAAATGTTCTAAAATTGTGGTGGCCAGGCATGGTGGCTCACGCCTGTAATCCCAACACATTGAGAGGCCGGGGTGGGTGGATGACTTGAGATCAGGAGTGTGAGACCAACCTGGCCAACATGGTGAAACCCTGTCTCTACAAAAAACTACAAAAATTAGCTGGGCGTGGTGGCAGGCACCTGTAATCCCAGCTACCTGGGAGGCTGGGGCAGGAGAATCACTTGAACTTGGGAGGTAGAAGTCGCAGTGAGCCAAAATCGTACCACTGCACTACAGCCTGGGCAACAGGGCGAGACTCCATCTCAAAGATAAAAATTATTAAATTGTTGTGATGGCTGCATACTTGTGACTGTACAGAAAACCACTCAGTTCGACACATTCAGTGGGTGAGTCTTACTGTCTATGAATCATGTCTCAGTAAATCCGTTGAGAAAAGTAAGGCTTCATTAAGAAAAATAGACTTGCAGTATGCACTTTGGGTGCTGCTGGACGCCTGCTGGAGGGAAGAGGTCTGTCTGAATCTTGAAGTTGCCCTAGGGAGCCGTACTTTGACCCCACTTAGCCCTTTCCCTTGGAGGCAGCAACTGGAGCTGATTCAGGACGGGTTCTGACTCAGCTGTTTCACTGGAGGCCATTCCCTTCACTCCTGTGTTTTTATAAAAGCCACCTCATTGCTTCACAGGTACCTGCATTTTCTTAACAGTCCTAGCCAATTTTTATCACTCTTAAAATACCTTAGACACAACGTCATATTTGAACTTTTGGTTCCCTATCTAGACACCCAACCAGAGTTTCCAAATAACCCAGCTTGGGGCACAAAGGGAGTTGAGTTGCATCTTTATTACCCACACCCCCAGCTGTTCACCTCCTTTTAGGAATTTCATGGTACCATATAAGACAATGAATTGTATTTTATAAAACTGTCTTCTTTGCACAATTTGTGCATGAAATGTGACCAGGGTACATGATTTCTACAAATGAACATTGGTGCTCATGTTCACACAGGTTCACCAGAGTGGCTCAGGCTGGTCTCCAGTGGTAAGTTTTCACCTCTTTGCCTTATTTTCACAGTAGTGTGTGGTTGTATGAACATAATGGGTTTATGGTTTGTCAGTCCAGGGTATTTATTGGGGTACTTCTTGAGGCACAAAGGATGCGATTAAAACCAGTGATTGGCAGACTTTTTCCATAAAGTGTAGGATGGCAAAGATTTTTAGCACGTGCGCCTACATTCCCTGCTGTCGTAGCACAAAAGTAGTAACATGTAACTGAACAACCAGGGAGACCAGCCTGGCCAACGTGGTGAAACCCCATCTCTACTTTAGCCAGGCATGGTGGCACCCACCTGTAATCCCAGCTACTCGGGAGGCTGAGGCAGGAGAATTGCTTGAACCCAGGAGGCAGAGGCTGCAGTAAGCTGAGATCACGCCGCTGCACTCCAGCCTGAGCAACAGAGCTAGAATCCATCTCAAAAAAAAAAAAAAAAAAAAAAAAAAAAGACACAGAGTTAAGGAGGTGACATTACTTACATTAGCTGAGTTCCTGTCATCGCAGCCCATGGACATACAGTGCCTCTTTCAAATCCCCTAACATGGTGCTTTTTTTTTTTTTTTTTTCCAAAAATGATTTAGGATGCAGAGAGTGAATGTGCTTATGGGTCACACAGCAGTTTTGTCCTGAAAATGGTTTTTTCAGTGAGAGGTCAGACAGAAGACCTGGGGGAGGGCCTCACTGCATGGCTTTGAGTAAAGTGTGTCTTGCCTTCCCTCCGTTCCCTCTCCAGTACATGGAAGACAACTTGGGGGTGATGTCAGTGGGTTTCCTGCTCAGCAGTCCTGATGACGCTGTTATCTGGAGGGGACCAAAGAAAAACGGTTTGCCACTCTGCCTTTTTTTGTTTCTCACATCCTTCCACGAGCATCGTGGCTCTCGGCCTCATCTGCACCCTGTCCTGCCAGTCTCAGCCTGCTGGACCCCACAGTATATTGTTTTTAAGCACCCATTGCCTCTTCTTCACTGGTTGAAAAGAGGTCATCGAAATACCCCAGTTTTCCCTTATATAATTACAAGTATCTGCTGTGAGTTTTTCTCTCCTTAAAAGCTATAGAACCCTGGCCAGGTTGGGTGGCTCACACCTGTAATCCCAGCACTTTGGGAGTTTGAGGCGGGCAGATCACCTGAGGTCAGGAGTTTGAGACCAACCTGGCCAACATGGTGAAACCCCATCTGTACCAAAAACATAAAAAATTAGCCAGGTATGGTGGTGTGCACTTGTAATCCCAGCTACTTGGGAGGCTGAGGCAGGAGAATCACTTGAACCCAGGAGGCAGAGGTTGCAGTGAGCTGAGATCACGCCACTATAGAACCCTGAAATTATTTTTATCATGGTTTCATCATGACTTATTTGGGTCAGAGAGGTGAGATCGACAGCAGGTTGATCTGCTACTGAGACTTAGGGTAATAATGTGAAACTGTTATCAGGATGAGCTTCCTCAGCCTCAGCACTATTGAAATTTGGAGCCAGATAAATAAAGAAAAAATGAGCATCCCCTGCGATTCCTCTTTCTAGGCATGATCAAGCAGTTCCTCCGAGATGTGGACTGGGGAGAGGTGGACTACCTCATTGTGGACACCCCACCTGGGACGTCGGATGAACACCTCTCGGTCGTCCAGTATCTGGCCGCGGCACACATCGACGGAGCAGTGATAATCACCACTCCCCAGGTGAGCAGGCTCCCAGGTGGAGCTGGGTCCAAACTGTGCTCCACCCTGCAAGGCTTCCTTCCTGCAAGGCTCTGATACCCTGGTCTCACCAAGGTTCTTCCCAGTGTGTATTCCACAGCCGCATCCAATGCACATCTGCAAAAACCTCTTTTAAAATGTCAGCTGGGCACAGTGGTTCACACCTCTAATCCCAGGACTTTGGGAGGCTGAGATGGGAGAATCGCTTGAGCCCAGGAGTTCGAGACCAGCCTCAACAATATAGTGAAACCCCATCGCTACAAAAAATATTTTAAAATTAGCCAGGCATGGTAGCTCGCACCTAGAGTTCCAGCTACTCGGGAGACTGAGGTGGGAGGATCATTTGAGCCTGGGGAGAGGAGGCTGCTGTGAGCCACGATCGCGCCAATGCACTCCAGCTAGCACAACAGAGTGAGACCTTGTCTCAAAAGAGTAAGAAAATAAGTCATCTTTAGTCTAGACATTTGTAGCTATCAATGATGTATTTTTTTTAGTCCATAAATTAAACAGTAAAGAATGCTTTTTGAAGGGTCAAGAATGCTCTTTGAAGGTTCCTGGAGGAAACTAGCGAAGCCGCCAGTGCAGTCACAATTCACATCATGTTGCCTGGTGCCGTCAGCCTTGCCGTGTCCACGCATCAAGTCCCCTGATCTACAGTGTATTTCCATTTACATCCCAGTAGCATTTAGGAAATCTCTCCAGTTTTCAACAGAACTAGCTGGGTGCAGTCAGGGATTTCGGGATAAGCCGCTGGGTACCCTCGCTCCTTCCTTAGTGACACCCAGTGCCCCTCTGTACCAGTCACCTAGTGGCTGTGCCCCTGGGCCCATGGTGAGCCCAAGCTGCAGTAGGAAGTTTCCTCTCTGTAAGCCCTACAGAGAGCAACTGCAGGCAGGACCGTGACACTGTCCATCTCAGGGTCCCGAGTAACCAGGGGCTCTCCTCCACAGTTACGCTTGACTGCTCTTCATGATGTTCTCCTCCACACCTAAGAAAGCCCAACAAAGGAGGTTTGCTTTGATCTCATTGGTCAGAATCAGTCAGGATGACCCATAGTCTCACCCTCATTCAGCACTCACTGAGCTCCAACTACGTGCTAGGCATCAGGGCAGTACAAAGGCCTGGCCCCCCATGGTGGCCCCTGTGGCTCCCTGAGGAACACAGGTGCCAGACACACTCATGAGGGCTCAGCCAGTGGAGTGGCAGGCCCAGCGGCCATGGGAAAGGTATCTGGGTCAGTAAATGGTGACAAGATTCATGTCCATTTTGGCATTCTGCAGAGAGGGGCCATGGGGGCGCATGGAGGAGCAGAACACAGTGGTTGGTGCTACGCACAGTGGCTCATGTCTGTAGTCCCAGCATTCTGGGAAGCCAAGCCGGGCAAGTCACTTCAGGTCAGGAGTTTGAGACCAGCCTGGCCAACATGGTAAAACCCTGTTTCTACCAAAAAATAGAAAAATTAGCCTGGCATAGTGGCAGGCACCTGTAATCCCAGCTACTTGGTAGGCTGAAGCAGGAGAATTGCTTGAACCCCAGAGTCAGGGTTGCAGTGAGTGGAGATCACGCCACTGCACTCTAGCCTGGGCAGCAGAGCGAGACACCGTCTCAAAAAAAAAAAAAAAAAAAAAAAACAAAGAAACAAATGAGAGACTGAGCCGCAGCCCAGCTACTTTCTAGCTGAACGCCTCTTCCTCTGCACCCCAGCCTCAGTGCCAGGAGTCAAACATGTCAGGAAAAAAACAGGCCCAAAGCTGCAAACCTTTTGAGCTCACGTGAGTGGTGAAGCCACAGGTGCTAAGGAGTTACTACACCTGACAGTGACCAGCCACAGCAGCACTTGGGCACAGGGATCTATGATAATGTGAACTGGGGAAAACAGGCAGCTACTGAGCACTGTTCATGCACAGTAATCACACTAAAAACTCAGTTCAGAAGGGAATGTGGAGTTGTCCACGTTGGGCAATACTCCCTATTTCTTTTTAGTCCATAAAGTTGTTTGTGTTCATAATTATCTGTCTAGATCAGGGATCGGCAAACTTTCCTGTAAAGGGCCAGATAGTAAGTAGGCTTTGCGGACCCCACGGTCCCTGTCACAGCTCCTCAGCTGTGCCACTGTGGAGTGAAGCAGCCACAGGCAGTGCCCAGAGGGATGGGCATGGCTGGTTCCAAAGGAACTTGATTTATAAAACCAGCCAGATTCAGTCCCCAGTCTGGGGTTTGCCAAGCTCTGGTCTAGAAAACAGTGCACACTCAGGCTGAATATATTTAGGACATGGAGCATGGAGACATGTTAAAAGTTCATTTTCAGATAGGCATGGTGGCTCACGCCTGCAATCCCAACACTTTGGGAAGCCGAGGCAAGAAGATCACTTCAGACCAGGAGTTTAAGACCAGTCTGGACAACATAGCAAGACCCTATCTCTACAAAAAATTAAAAAGCTAGACAGGTGAAGTAGCATATGCCTATAGTCCTAGCTACTCGGGAGGCTGAGGCAGGAAGATTGTGTAAGCCCAGGAGGTCGAGGCTACAGTGAGCTATGATTGTGCCACTGCACTCCATCCTGGGCAACAGAGTGAGTTCCTGTCTCTAAAAATAAGAAGTCATTTTCTTTCAAATTTATGTCTTGCGATTTGGCTGTGTGGGAAGTAAATAGCATCTCAAACAAACAGGGCTTAGCGCTGGTAGGCACTAAATAAATATGGATTTGGCGGGGTCAGGTATTAGGTCATTTTCACACTGCTGTAAAGAACTGCCTGAGACTGGGTAATTTATAAAGGAAAGAGGTTTAATTGACTCACAGTTCCACATGGCTGGGAAGGCCTCAGGAAACTTACAATCATGGAAGAAGGCGAAGCAGGCACGTGATACACAGTGGCAGCAGTGAGAGAGACTGTGTGTAGGAAGAACTGTGAAACATTTATGAAACCATTAGAGAACAGCATGGGGGGAACCGCCCCCATGATCCAGTCACCTCCCACCAGGTACTGCCCTCAACACGTCGGGATTGTGGGAATTACAATTCGTGATGAGATTTGGATGGGGACACAGAATCAAACCATACCAGGGCAGAAACCTCTAAGGCTTCATGATAGCAGATCCACTGCATTGCAGCCACCCAATCGGGTGCACGGACATTCCCTTTCTCGCACTTTGATGCTGGAATCACTCATCTCTTCACCTTCATAGGAGGTGTCCCTCCAGGATGTCCGGAAAGAAATCAACTTCTGCCGCAAGGTGAAGCTGCCCATCATCGGGGTGGTGGAGAACATGAGTGGCTTCATCTGTCCTAAGTGCAAGGTGAGGGTGCATGGGGCTGCCAGGCGATCTGAACAAAATGCTGCCTTCACAGTTGAGGAAACAGTCAGAAGGGTGCTCTGCAAACAGTTTCTGCTTTCCCTGGCATTTTGGGAAGTGGAATCACAGCTAAAATCCCTTTCTGCTGACTAAAGGAAAGTTCTTTTGGTGTTAAGTGTTTCACATTCAAACTAAGCTTTTGTGTGTGTGTGTGTGTCTCTAAGTTTCTTTAAAATGTAGTCCATCCAGGCCGGTTGCAGTGGCTAACGCCTGTAATCCCAGCACTTTGGGGGGCCGAGGTGGGTGCATCACCGGAAGTTAAAAGTTTGAGACCAAGCTAGCCAACATGGTGAAACCCCATCTCTACTAAAAATAGAAAAAAATTAGCCAGGCATGGTGGTGGGTGCCTGTAATCCCAGCTATTCAGGAGGCTGAGGCAGGAGAATCATTGGAACTGGGGAGGTGGAAGTTGCAGTGAGCCAGGATTGCACCATTGCACTCCAGCCTGGGTGACAGAGCGTGACTCTATCTCAGAAAAAAAATAAAATGTGGTCCATCCCTGTGATTCTGCAAGAAAATCATGTTTCCTCCCCTTTGAATTTGCCTTGCAGAAAGAATCTCAGATATTCCCTCCCACGACCGGGGGCGCAGAGCTCATGTGCAAGGACCTGGAGGTCCCTCTCCTCGGCAGAGTGCCCCTGGATCCAGTCATAGGTGGGTGACCCCGGCATGTGGCGGGACCTCACTCCTCGGTCAGTCCCACAGTCATGGGTCAGGCATGACAGTGGGTAGCTATGGAGAGGGGCGATGGAAGGAAGAAGGTCAGTGGGGCACTGGAGCCAGACCCACCCTCCAGCTAGCACCCCCAGAGGCCTCCAGGAGAAAAGCCGAGACCCCTGTGGGTAGACAGCGGGAGCAAGTAGGCCTCAGGCAAACGGGTGAGGCCTGCAAGAATGGGTTAGAAGTTGGTGAGGGCGGTGGTGGCAGGGGACTGAGGAGGGCGCTCAGTAGAGGGGCAGCTCCAGGGGACATAGATCACTGACCTGTGAGCAGGGGCCACATTCCCAGAATGGTCCGGGGGAGGGTAGGGGCCGAGTATTTGTGAGGAGGGTTGGAGGGTGGGAGCCTGGAGGTGGGGAGAGCAGAGGCCATCTGGGGTGCCCTCGCGGAGGGCCAGGCCCGCATGGGGAGCTCAAGGGGAGAATGGGAGCCTGTGGGAAACGGCTAAGTGCCATCATCACTGAGTGTCAGTGTCCCGTGCCTGGGATCAGGAGGCCCAAGGGTGGCTGGCCTGGGGTCAGAGTTCAGCATGAGGCCCTGAGTTCTGGCGTTGGTGTAGAAAGGGAGGGACACACAAGAGAGAAAGTGACAGGATCTGATGGTCGAAGTTGTCCCCACTGCCAGTACAAGCCACCCAGAGGAGGGTCCGTCCCTCAGAGACAGTGAAGCAGGGGTGAGGCCGGGCCCTCTGGGGTGCTGCGGCTGAGAGGTGACGTGGCTCAGGTTGTCAGCAGGCTCTGGGGTCAGTCAGGAGAGGGTGGTTTGTGTCCATGCAGGCAAGTGTTGAAGCCACAAGGCGTGGACAGGACTGCCAAGGGGCTGCGCAGAAAGCGGGAGCCAGGACAGTGCTGGGGCGGCTGCCGTGAGGAAGTGGGGAAGGGGTGCAAGGGCCACTCGGAGGATGGGAACGGCCCTGGAGAACCCTAGAGACCCCATGCACCCAGGCAGCTGGGTCCCAAACTCCTTCTTCCCACATCCCTAAATGCTTCTCTGGCATGTGATTTCCCCAACAAAATGTAGAAAAGTACAGCTGCTTTCTCAGCCTTCCCCAGCATTATAAAACACTCACCAGGCAGCTTTTTCAGTGACCAGAAGTGGTGCTGAGAGCTGCCCTCAAAGGTCCCTGAAGGCAGGCAGGCCATATGAATGGACGTGACTGGGTGGGGAGCTTGAGGCACAGCCATTCCTGCCAGCTTGCACCTCTGCCACAGGTTAGCTCTGCCGAGATGGGATTGATGGACAGGACATTTATCAGGGGAAACATCTGTGGGAAAAAATCACAAGGGAGAGCATTAGCCCACGATGAAGGAGTGCAGGAAGGAACATATCAGCCCACAAGAGCATCTTAGCCCATGGGAGCATCTTAGCCCATGGAAGTATCTCAGCCCAAGGGAGCATCCCAGCCCTCAAGAGCATCTCACCCCTTGGAAGCATCTCAGCCCCAAGGAGTATCCCAGCTCTCAAGAGTATCTCAGCCCAAGGGAGCATCCCAGCCCTCAAGAGCATATCAGCCCATGGAAGCATCTCAGCCCATGGGAATATCCCAGCTCTCAAGAGCATCTCAGCCCATGGGAGCTTCTCAGCCCACAGGAGCATCCCAGCCCAAAGGAGCACCTCAGCCCACAGGAGCATCTCAGCCTACTGGAGCATCCCAACCCTTAAGAGCACCTCAGCCTATGGGAGCATCCCAGCCTGAAGGAGCATCTCAGCCCACTGAAGCATCTCAGACCATGGGATCATCCCAGCCCAAAGGAGCATCTCAGTCCACTGGAGCATCTCAGCCTACTGGAGCATCTCGGCTCATGGGAGTGTCAGCCTGCTGGAGCACCTCAGTGTACTTTACTTAGTCTGCTGGAGTGTGTCAGTCTGTTGGAGCAGCTCAGTCTGCTGGAGTGTCTTGGCTGCTGTCAAGGAAAGCTGAGCACAGCCACCAGGGCATTCCTGGGTTCACTCACCCATCAGAGGGGCTGCATCTCCCAGGAACGTGCCTGCCTGAGTGCCATGCTCGGCTCAGTCACTAGCAAGGAGCAGCCTGAGGGCGGCATTGCCTTGACACAAACGTGGTGATGGATTTTGGAGCATGGCAGCTGCTGTCAGAGATCCAGGAGGGGTGTTCTTGTGGCCATCACAACTGCCACGTTTTCCAGTGTTTAAAGAAGAGCTAGAAGTTCAAGACCAGCCTTGGCAACATGGTGAAACCCCGTCTCTACTAAAATGCAAAAAAATCAGCCAGGCATGGCGGTGTTCGCCTGTAATCCCAGCTATTTGGGAGGCTAAAACAGGAGAATTACTTGAACCTGGGAGGCGGAGGTTGCAGTGAGCCAAGATTGTGCCAGCCTGGGCAACAGAACAAGACCTTGTCTCAAAAAAAACAAAATGCCATGCTTGCTAACCCACCCAAATATTTCCATGGGCCCAGCCACAGGCCTGCCATTGCCATTGTTCAACAGATCAGGAAGTAACCTTGGAGCCCTGTGTTAGATCCTGATGTGACTTTTCTTCCAAAGAGCCACCAACCTCCATCTTCCCACCTCCCACACCCAGTCCTGGCATCGACCCTTGTCTTTCCTTTCAGGGCCACTTTTCACAAGAGCTCATTTCAAAGCAGAGGAGCCCCCTGTGACAGCTGCGGGCTCATTCTGAGCTGAGAGAGGATTAAGTGTCTTCTAGTGAGCACGGTCCTGTGTGTCAAATGCACACTGCGGAACCTCACCTCGAGGGGAAACCACAGTTAAGGCCAGGGAGTGCCAGAAAGGAAGGGGTGGTTCACACTTGCACACCCAGGAGGGTGGAGCGTGAGGGCCGAGTGACACACATCTGGCCAGGTCACTGGGGACAGAGTGGGCACAAAGCCACCTTCCTAGGAACAAACAGGAAGGCATGAGAACAGCACTTCAGTCCCCTCTGGGGACATGGTGGCAAAGAGTTACAGATGTCAGCGCCCTGGTGCTGTGGGTCCTGGCCTCATGTGCTGACGATCACAGGAGGGCTGGCCTCAGATCCTCTGCCACCACTAGCTGTGGGACTTGGGCTAGTCATTTTGCCTCTCTCAGCCTCAATGGCCTCATGTGTAAAATGCAGGTGACAGTGGTACCTAGTGAGAGGGATGGACAGGGATGGAGTAAGAGGATGCTTGGGATCTCCTGGGCAGGGCTGAGCTCACACCAGCTCTTCTGGCAATTCTGCCTGTTCTTGGAGAGGTGGGAGCCCAGGGGGAAATGTGGTTAAGAAGGGAAACACTAGAGCAGGTTTGTGTGTTGGGAGCTGGGGAGCCCTGTGGGGAAGAGAGACCTGAGTGAAAGTCAGGGACAGAAAGCCCCAACATGACTCTTCTGGGATCCCCAAGCTCCCAGGTCTGGCCCAGCGAACGAGCACTCATGTGCCTCCCTAGTGAGTTCCACATGGTCTTGTGGTCCCCGTATTAACGGTGGAGGGGGTCCAGGTTCTTGGCATCTTACACGAAAAATTGGGCAAGACACACAAAGCAAGGAAGGAATGAAGGGATTTACTGAAAATGAAAGCACACTCCGTGGTGTGGGAGGGGAGTGGGCCTGAACACAGGGGCTTGAAGACCCCATTACAGAGTTTTTGTGAGTTTAAATACCCTCTGTGTGGAGTACGCCCTATATAAATGAAGAGGATGAAGTAAAGTTACAAAGTCATTTACAGTGTACGTCCTATGGAGAAGACATTTCCTATTACAGCTGAAGTGTGAATTGGCCTTACGTTCCCTGCCTCCAGACCCTATTTTCCTGCCTCACCGGGTCATCTGGGCTCCACATCTACCACCAGCCTCTCCCCACAGCCCTCTTCTCCCACTTGGGCTCCCCTGTCCCACAAGAGCGACACAGTAGTGAAGTTGAAGAAATGAGTGCAAGGTGGGAACCCCTCCTGGGGTTCACCTAAGGCTGGTGACCGACCATGGGCAGTGCAGTCACTTAGCCCTGTTTCTCCGGCAGCTCAGGGCCTGGGCAGTGGGCAGAGTAAGCTGACGTCAAGTCCACCCACGAGTGGGCACTAGCAGGGCAGACTGGAGGCGAGAACATCCCCAAGAATGACCCCAAGCCCCTATGTCTTGTCCATGGGATAACATGGTCCTAGAGAAACCTGGGTGTGCAAAGGAGGGGACTGGAGCAGTGGCTACATGGCGGGGAAAGACCAGCACACCAATGGACACCAGTGTAGATGACCGGGAAGATATGACAAGCAGCGGGCAGAATGTGTGTGTCATATGCTCCCATTTGTATTTTAGGTATATGCAAGTATGTGTGTTTGCACACTTGTAAGCGTGCACCACATTTATATACCCATAATATTTCTGGACACTAGTAGCCCTTTTTGGACTTGCCTTCATGATATATCCTTTTGTGTTCTGTACTTTTTTTAACCATGTGCATTCATGTTCCTTTTACTCAAAAGCTGGTTAATCTCTGAAAATGCAGACTCCTGGGCCCACCTGGAAGCTGCTGAATCAGTTCTCTGTAGGGCCCCGGAACCTGCATTTGCCACACACCACCTGATGATTTAGCCACGCTGAGATGCTGGCTGGGGACACCCTGCTGGAAGGAGGGTCCCAGAGATCCCAATAGCCTGTTCTACTTTGCTCTTCATTACAAGTGAAGGGCTCAAGATCTTCCCGTTGTCACCAGCACAGAAAGAGCTCCAAGATCTTGGGGCCACTGAGTTTTCCTCTTGGATTGAATTGTATTCCATTTGTTTCTTTTAAGGTAAGAATTGTGACAAAGGCCAGTCTTTTTTGATTGATGCCCCGGATTCCCCAGCCACCTTAGCCTACAGAAGTATAATTCAGAGTAAGTATTTCTGTGAGTAGTTAATGCAGAGGCCTGTGGGGCAGGAAGCAACATAAAGGAGCTAAGTGTGTGGGGGTGTGGAAGGACAGACGGGTGGTGGGGTCTTTGATCACCACAGAGTGGCCCACAGCCCAGGAAGCCAGGAGTCCACGAGAAGTTTCTCAGCGTGTGAGTATTGTGAACACATTCATAGTTTAAAAAATAGTGGTGAGGGTGAAATTTATGGCTTAGGAAATACATCCTAATAAAGCCATAAAGTAATTGATTTTGAAAAGTAACTGATTTAAAAACAGCAACGACAACAGGCCAGGCACAGTGGTTCACACCTATAATCCCAGCACTTTGGGTGGAGGCAGGCAGGCAGATCACTTGAGGCTGGGCAAGAGTTCAAGACCAGCCTGTCCAACATGGCAAAACCCCATCTGTACTAAAAATACAAAAGTTAGCCAGGTGTGGTGGCACGCGCCTGCCCAGCTACTCAGGAGGCTGAGGTAGAATGGCTTGAACCTAGGAAGTGGAGGTTGAGTCAGCCCAGATCATGCCACTGCACTCCAGCCTGGGCAACAGAGTGAGACTGTATCTCTTTTGAAAAAAAAAACCATGGTGGGCCAGACCAAACCCAAGTGCAGCCCACATTCAGCCACTGGCAGCCATCAGAGGCCTCAGTTAAGGCAGAATTGTCAGTGTTTGTTAAAGCTGCAGCCTCTCAGTCTGTGGCTGGGTTTTACTTGCCTAGAAGAATGATGTCAAGGGTAAGGCAACAGCATTCCCAGAATCCTCCATCTATAGATGGGCTAAGGAAGGCCTCAGCCATTGGTTATGACCGTGATGGGCTGTGTGAGTTATTTGGGTCACTTTCAAAGACTCAGGGCATCACAGACAAGGGCTTTTTATGGAACCAGCCAGAGGATTCCACCCGTTAAGACACACCTCCCCACCCCGCTTCCCCAGCACAGAATGGGGCTGTCAGGGGGCAGACAAGCCATGAGCATTCTATGCCTGTCATCTTGTTTTCCAGAAATCCAGGAGTTTTGCAGTCTCCATCAGTCAGAAGAAGAGAACCTCATCAGTTCTTGAAACAAGAGAATGTTCAGGACCAGCAGTTACCGAGCGGGGCATTCACGGGGCAGCACATCCAGCCAGACCCAGCCAGCTCCAGGACGCGGTGGGTCACAGCAAAAAGGGACAAGACCCTGGTGTGGTCCGAAGCCACTTTCTCAGAGACACTTTGATCCTCGAGTGTGTGTACACTATTCTCTAGAACGTATATAAAGGGCATTCTTTACAAATGTGCCATTTTAAGAATTAAAAACCCCTCTTCAAACCTCTCCTCTGAGGCCTGTCTCATGTAAAAAACAAACGGGTTATGGGACCATGGGATTCTGCTGTGTCGGAAGCTTAGTCAGTTATAGAAACTCCCATTTAAGCCATTTCTGCCTCCGAAGAGAAGAAAGCTAGAACAGCAGCAAAGGGGTGAGTGTACCGCCTCACTGCGGAACACACGGGTACGCTTTCAAACAGCACACAGTCCAAACGCTCTTCTTCAGATTGAGGAAAAATCTAAGTCACAGAGCTCACGCTGGGGTTCGTTCTAAAATCACTCCATATGATGCAACTGGGTCAACTCAAAAAGGCCTTGAATCACTCAATAAGACGGAATTTGGGGTCTGTGTATACATACACCCTGTGTAGTAACATGCACAGTATATCCGGTAATGTCCACTGTCATATGCAAAACAGTTTTCAGGTTTTTAAATTAAATTAAAAAGAGTCAGATGTAAATGCTACAGTCATCATTGCCATGAGATGCTTGCTCTATTTGAGACACACAGGATCAGAGAGAGCTGGGAGAAGAGTAAATTCCTGTTTCCATCAGCTCTGGGGCATAAAAGCAGGCGAGCGGGAAGCCAGAACACATCCCCTTGTTCTTTCCCTTCCTTGTCTCTTTTCCCTCCCCACCCTTCCCTGGGCCTGCATATACGGTCATTTGCACATGTGCAGTGTGAGGAAGCTGTGACCTTGCCCCCCACCCCCCAGCTCTCGCTTCAAGAGCAATGAGGCTGCAAAGCCTCGGGCACACCCAGTGCCCAGTCTGCTTCCTGCCTGGCCATGCACCTGGCCACCCCAGGGAAGAGGGGAAACCCACCCAGAGCCTGGTCCCCTGGGACCCAAGAGCTGCATTTTTCAGAACTCCCAGCCCCTCCAAACAGGTGCCATGATCCATTTCTTACCTAATGCTGGTGAATCTCCAGCCCCTCAAGGCCAGGCTTCTGAAAGTCCTCTGGGCAGGCCTGCAAGGGGAAAAGTCAACCATGGTTATTTGTCCTTACATGCAAGTGGGCCAATCCTGCTGATTTAAGGCCAAAGAAAACCCACAAACTACAGAAAACCTGCGGAACTGGTTGCTTGATGTCTTGGCGTAAAGCAGTGCTGTTCAAATTTAAGACGCTTCAAACCATTTCAGGATGAACCTGGACAAATTTGAAAGACCTCTATCTCTCACTTGTAGAAATATCTGTTAAGAGCCAGGCGTGGTGGCTCAAGCCTGTAATCCCAGCACTTTGGGAGGCCAAGGCAGTTGGATCATGAGGTCAAGAGATCTAGACCATCCTGGTCAACATGGTGAAACCCCGTTTCTACTAAAAATACAAAAATTAGCTGGGCATGGTGGCGCATGCCTGTAATCCCAGCTACTCGGGAGGCTGAGGCAGGAGGATTGCCTGAACCCAGGAGGTGGAGGTTGCAGTGAGCCAAGATCATGCCATTGCATTCCAGCCTGGGTAACAAGAGTGAAACTCCGTCTCAAAAAAAAAAAAAAAAAAAAAAATATCTGTTAAGTTTAAAAAAAAAAAAAAAAAAAACAGCCGGGCGTGGTAGCTCAAGCACTTTGGGAGGCGGAGGCTGGCAGATCACTTGAGGCCCGAGTTCAAGATCAGCCTGGCCAACATGGCAAGACCCCATCTCTACTATAAATACAAAAATCAGCCAGGCATGGTGGTGTGCATCCGTAATCCCAGCTACTCAGGAGACTGAGGCAGGAGAATCACTTGAACCTGGGAGGTGAATGTTGCAGTGAGCCGAGAACGCACCATTGCACTGCAGCCTGGGAGACAGCAAGACTGCATCTAAAAAAAAAAAAAAAACTAAGCTGAACTCGGTAGCTCATGCCTAAAATCCCAGCACTTTGGAGGCTAAGGTGGGTCGACCACAAAGTCAAGAGATTGAGGCCATCCTGGACAACATGGTGAAACCCCGTCTCTACTCAAAATATAAAAATTAGCTGGGCGTGGTGGCGTGCGCCTGTAGTCCCAACTAATCAGGAGGCTGAGGCGGGAGAATCACTTGAACCTGAGAGGCGGAGGTTGCAGTGAGTTGAGATTGCCCCACTGCACTCCAACCCGGTGACAAAGTGAGATTCCATCTCAAAAAAAAAAAAAAAAAAAAAAAACCTCTTTGTGACTCCTTCCTTAATTCTGTGGTTTTAAAAATCACTGAAAACTAACAATGGCAGTCACAAAAGGACAAAAACTATGATTGCAGTTACAGGAGGTCCCTAGAGCAGTCAAACCCATAGACAGAAAGCAGAGTGCCGGTTGCAGGGGCAGGAGGCAAGGAGGAGGAGGAGGTAAGGTTTTACGGGTACCAAGCTTATGTTTTGCAGGATCAAGGCAGTTCTGGAGCTGGGTGGGGGAAGTTGCCCAACAAGGTGGTTACACTTAATGCCACAGAACTGTACACTTTACAACAATGGTTAAAATGGTATATTTTATGTAAATCTTAACAATTAAAAAACAACACTGCGAGGCATGGTGGCTCATGGCTGTAATCCCAGCGCTTTGGGAGGCCAAGGCAGGTAGATTGCTGCAACCATCACGCCATTGCACCCTAGCCTAGGTGACAGAGCGAGACCCTGTCTCCCAAAAAATAAATAATAAAACAATGGCAGCCTGGCTGATATGTTATATTACAAACCGCAGTTGCCAGCAGGCCACCTTGACTTTGACTACCTGGAGAGGAGTGGTCGAGGAGTCAGACCTCAATAACTCACCGTCTGGAACACCGTCTGGGACAGGAAACTGGCTGCGACCTTGCTGATGTCACTGTTGCCTCCCATCTTACAAAGGATGTAGCCATACAGGTTTGCAGCTTGGAGAGAGATCCCAGCAACCACCAAAGCCTGCACGCAAAGAAAACGAAGGTCACTCTCTAAGAGCACTTAGAGAAATGTGCCTCTCAAGCCCAGTTAGAAGTAGCTCTAGCCTGCACCTAAGACTAGTTAACAGGCAACATTTACTGAGCATTTACAAATACCTCCAAATCATTACAACCGGAGAGGCTGCCACCATCATCGTCCCATTTTACAAGGAGGAAACTGAGGCTCAGGAAGACGAAAGCTGCCCAAGTTCACAGAGCTGGAGCGTGGTGGAGCCAGGATCCAAATTCCAGAGCCCAAACTCATTAGATGACACTGTTGTCTTACTATCTACAAGTATTCTGTTCTCTCTCTCTCTCTCTCTCTCTCTCTGTTTTTTAAGATGGAGTCTTGCTCCACCGCCTAGGCTGGAGTGTAGTGGCACTCATTGCAACCTCCGCTTCCCTGGTTCAAGTGATTCTTCTGCCTCAGCCTCCCAAGTAGCCGAGATTACAGGCGTGTGCACTATGCCCAGCTAATTTTGGTATTTATAATAGAGACGGTGTTTTGCCACGTTGGCCAAGCTGGTCTTGAACTCCTGACGTCAGGTGATTTACCTGCCTTGGCCTCCCAAAGTGCTGGGATTATAGGCGTCTGAGTTACCATGCCTGGCCTGTGTGAGTCCATTTATACAAAATGCCCAGAATAGGCAAATCCATAGAGACAGAAAAATTAGTAGGTGCCAGGCCTTAGAGGAACAGAAGCATAGGGGAAGCAATGTTGAAAGGCGGTGCCAGGCTTCTTTTTTAGGTGATGAAAATGCCCTAACATTGATGGTGGTGCTGGCTGCACACTCTGACTGCACCAGAAGCCACTGAATTTCACACTTTACTTTTGGAGACAGTCTCACTCTAGCACCCAGGCTGGAGTACAATGGCACCATCTTGGCTCACTGCAGTCTCTGCCTCTCAGGCTTTAGCATGCACATCAGCATGCCTGGCTAATTTTTGTATTTTTTGCAGAGATGGGGTCTTGCTATATTGCCCAGGCTGGTCTTGAACTCCTGAGCTCAAGCAATCCTCCTCCTCGGCCTCCCAAAGGCCTGGGATTACAGGCGTGAGCCACCACGCCCAGCCCCTAATTGTACACTTCAAATAGGTAAGTTGTATGGAATGTGTATTATATCTCAATAAACTTGTTACAATTGATCAATCAATAACAAATAACAAAAGCCTACTGGTGCCCACACTGGTTTTGCAGAGACATCAAAGCAATGTAGAAGTCAAAGTATGGACTTACCAGCCACTTTAGCTTCAAGGAAAATAAGGTGCTAAAAAAAAATACAATCCATATCATGGGGCAAATTATGAGGCCCAGCCAGAAGATTCGCGCTTCTGCTTCTGTGGCAGCGATGTTATTCGGAGAGACCTGTTAAAGGAAAGTAATTCAACTGTCGAAACAAGTGGAAATGATTGCAAAACAGCATGCTCACATTTTCATTTATTTTATTTTGCAGATGCTTTTGTTGTGGCGTTTTTTTGTTTTCTTTTGTTTTGAGACCGAGTCTCATTGTGTTGTCCAGGCTAGAGTGCCACGGCATGATCTTGGCTCACCACAACCTCTGCCTCCTGGGTTCAAAGTGATTCTCCTGCATCAGCCTCTTGAGTAGCCGGGATTACAGGTGCCTGCCATCATGACTGGCTACTTTTTGTATTTTTAGTAGAGACAGGGTTTCACCATGTTGCCCAGGCTGGTCTTGAACTCCTGACCTCAAGTGATCCACCCACCCAAAGTGCTGGGATTACAGGCATGAGCCACTGTGCCCAGCCTATTTTGCAGATACTTTTGCTACACACATGCTTCACCAGGGCACCCACAGCGGTGGTTTAGTGTAGGGCAGGAATCAGATATGCACAAAACTCCAAAGGAACCCATGGAAACTTTCCACGCCCATTATTCCCACTCTGGTTAGTTCAGCTCGCCGTGGAGAATACCTTCCTGGCTTCAAAGATCCAGTGGCTCTTCCCGTCTTCATCTATCTGGTTCCACCATCGCAGGCCCACCAGGAGTCTTCCGGTTACATTCTGAGAACAGACAAATGACTCTGAGGAGGTCACAGGCAAAGAGGTGTATTCACTGTGTTGATAAATAAAAGCTCCCTGGTTCGTTTCAGGCTTGTACTGGGAGCAGGAAGAA